CACTTTCAGTTTGTGAGTGTCTGTAGGTCTGAAGTGTGTCTCTTGTATGCAGCATATACATGGATCTTGTTTTTTTATCCAGTTGGCCACCCTATGGCATTTGATTGGAGCATTTAGTTCATTGACATTTAAAGTAGCTATTGATAAATATGTATTCATTGCCATTTTGTCACTTTTTCTTTTTTTGGGCTGTTTTAGTAGTTCTCAGTTCCTTGCTTTTTCTCTTGCTCTCTTCCCTTGTGGTTTGATGGCTGTCTTCAGTAATATATTTGACTTCTTTTGTCTTACTTTTTTTCCTGCTTGTTGTAGGTTTCTGGTTTGTGGTTACCATGAGGATCCTATTTAATATACTATGCATATAACAGTCTATATTGAGTAGATAGACTCTTTAGCTTGACCTCTTTCTAAAAGCTCTACTTTTTCACTCCCCTCCTCCTACATTATATGTTTTTCACATCATATATAGTCTTTTGTTTAGTGTGTGTCTATCCATTACCCTCTTATCATTGAAATAGGTGATTTTAGTACATTTGTCTTTTAACCTTCATATTATCTTCACAGGTAGTTGATCTGCTGCCTTTACTATACTTTCACCTTACAAGTGATTTTATTGCCTGCCTTTTCTTGTTGTTGTTGTTTTGGGTTTTTTTGATAATTTTTTCTCTTTTATCTCTATTTGTGATCATTGCTTTCCCACTTAAATAGGACCCTTCAGCATTTCTTGTGGAACTGGTTTCTTGGTGGTAAACTCCTTTAATTTTTGCTTGTCTGGGAAGCTCTTTATCTCTCCTTCTATTCTAAATGAGAGCCTTGATGGATAGAGTATTCTTGGTTGTAGGTTTTTTCCTGTTAGAACTTTAAATATGTCATGCCATTCTCTTCCCGCCTGTAGGGTCTCGACTGAGAAGTCCGCTGACAGCCTGATGGGCTTCCCTTTATATGTCACTTGTGGCCTTTCTCTTGCTGCTTTTAGGATTCTCTCTTTGTCTTTAATTTTAGACATTTTGATTATAATATGTCTTGGTGTGGGCCTCTTTGGGCTTCTCTTGTTTGGAGCTCTCTGTGCTTCCTGAACTTGGATGTCTGTTTCCTTCCTCAGGTTAGGAAAATTTTCCTCTATTATTTTGACAAATAAATTTTCTGCCCCTTTGTCTCTCTCTTCTCCTTCTGGGACCCCTATAATCCGAATGCTAGCATGCTTGATATTGTCCCAGAGTTCCCTTACACTGTTCTCATTCTGTCTAATTCTTTTTTCTCTTTTCTGTTCTGCTTGGGTGATTTCCTCTAGTCTTTCGTCTAGCTCGCTGATCTGTTCTTCTGCTTCCTCTACTCTGCTATTGAGTCCCTCTAGTGAATTTCTCATTTCGAGTATTGTATTCTTCACTTCTGATTGATTTTATTTTATATCTTCCAGTTCTTTGCTGATGTGCTCACTGTGTTCATCCATTCTTCTCCACATATCTGTGAGCATCCTCATTATATTTTGTTTGAATTCTTTGTCCAGGAGGTCGCTAGTTTCTGTTTCACTTAGTTCTTTTTCTGAGGTTTTGTACTGTTCCCTTGCTTGGAGAGTATTCCTTTGCCTCCTCATTATGCCTCTTTCTCTGTGCTATTTTCTTTGTACTAGGTGAGTCGGCTATGTCTCCTGATCTTGGAGAAGTGGCCTTATGTATAAGATGCCTTATGAGGCCCAGCAGAGTGCTTCCCTCTCGTCACCGGACCATAAGAACCAGGAGTGACCCCTTTGTGGGCTACTTGTGTTCTTCTGCTGTGGCAGGGTTGCTCCCACTGCAGGTACCCAGGGAGTCTGATCTTTCCTTCCCTGGCCAGCTGTTTGTAAATCTTGTTTGGAGGGGCCTCAGCACTGTTGGCTACAAAGTCTATCAGCACACTCTTATTGCAACTGTCCTCTTAATTGGGTTGGTACCCAGTGTAGCTGGTTGCTAGGCTCAGGGGCATACAGTTGTAATAGGCCTGAGGCCAACAAGGCTGTTGTCAGTTCTCTTAGGAGTGCAGCTGAGTGGGGCTAGCCCTTGGCATGGAGGCACTCAGTTGTTTCAGGCTTTGGAAGGTGGGTCTGATCCTTTTTATGGCTATTTGTGAAGCATAAGTCTTCTGCCACTGATAAGCCTCACCCCCCACTGGACCACATACACTGTCAACACAGTCCTGGTCTGTGCGTACTCTCAACCCCCTGGAGCGTACCCCAATGCCACACTGCAGAGGCCCCCACCTCTGCCCCAATGCCCCCCACAGTTCACCTGGTCCTCACACAAGCCTTGCCCCACAGAGGCAGACACCCTTGCCTGCCTGTAGAGGATCGAGGCACTCAGTCAATGCAGGCTGAAAAGTAGCCTGAGGGCTTGCTGTTAGGTGGGGTCAGTCCCTAGGGCGGGTTGCCTGCCCTGGCTGAGCTGGATTAAATCTGTGCTCTAGTGGGTGTGGCAGACCCCTGGGCTAACAGCCCAACAGATGCACCTCAATGGCCCCCACCGGTGTCCGTATCAGCACGCCTGGACCAGCTCAGAACAATGGCCCCCACCAATGTCTCAGTCTCCGGAGAGGACCCTCCTCTCACCAAGATGCCCCCAGAGCCCACCAGGTGAGTCTTGTTTCACCAAAGGACAGTCAGCCTTCTCTCTGGTGATTTTAGGTTGCTGCAATGAGTGAGTTTGTGCGTGGGCCCTTTAAGACGCAGATCTTTTTGGCTTTTGGCCAATAGCTTTTCTGGGGGCGTCCTCACTGCAGTTAATAGCCAGCAAAGCCAGACAGTAAGACCCTCATCTCAGTTGGGCTGAGTCCAAAGGATGGTTATAGCAGTATTGCCCCCGCTCTGGACCTCACTCCTCCAGGGAGGGCTCGTACCTTAGGGTGGCTCCTGCCTGGCCAGCTGAGAAGCTCCGCTGCTCCCAAAGGTGGCTTTTTTCCTCTCCAGCCAGAGTTACTGCCTCTTCTGCTTTCATCAGGACTGTCCCTTGTCGTGGGGGTTCTTTTTATCTAGTTTTCAGTTTTCAATCCAGGGTGATTCTTCCCAAATTGTTGTAACCTGGTTGTATTCGTAGGAGGAGGCGAGTTCAACGTCTTTTCACAGCGCCATCTTGATGAGATCTCTATTTTTGGTGTTTTTATTTATTTATGTATTTTGGTGATCAGTGACCCAATAGTATAATATTTAGTCCAGCACTAAAAAGAAGACTTAACAGTACTCATTATTAATGCTTCATAAATAAACTCATGTGATAGAGATAATATTTTGTAAATGGTTGTTTAAACATAGTTACACTTCTATCTGGTTTTATTATCAGAAAATGTCAATATGTCACTTCAAAAATTTATATCTATACATTTAAAAATGTAGTTAAACAGCATGTTGTAACCAGTTTATACATCTTTCAAAGCTTGAACTAATCTGTGATAAACTGAAATATGTAACACTTCCCAGGTACTTTGCAAAAATAACTTAACAACATCAATAAAAATGGAAATTTACTAGCCAAATTTAAAGGAAAATCTTTGCATAATTAGTATATTGGATTGAAAAATGGGTATCACAGATGCTTTGTTTCCACTTGGATCTGGATATCTTGGCAAGACACCTTTTGTTCAATAGTAGCCACTGAAATCAATTGGAATAAGCCAAACTTATAACCAGGCTTCAAATAACTGTACTACAAAGAGTAAACCAAGATTTTCAAAATGAAAAAAATCATATTCAATTACTATTTTAGTCAAAGATTCCAAGAATATTTTAAAATACTGTTTATTTCATCCTTATTTAATTTATATTTCTGTGTTTAATAGTGTGTATATTAAGTTAATACAGTAGAATATGTATATAACTAATAAAAAATATTTATGATACATTTTCAACACTTTTAGCTGACAGCAGTGTAAGATCAGAAATGTGTGTGACTCCATGACTTACGTGACTCAATTACTTTATCAGTGGGAAAATCGAAGACAAGATTAGTAGGGAGACTTGTTGATGGTCACATAAATAGATACTTTCTTGTTCAAGACTGGAATCCCAGTATCAGCACACTATCTGGCTCTCCCAGGTTCTAATCTTCCTTAAATCATAACCCAAAGTTGGCCCATAGGAAGAGTCATTATTAACCTAGATATCATAAGTATTACAATAGTTTGGAATAGCTGGAGAACAAGAAGCCATGGCAAAATCCAGAGAATGTAAGGGTTTGAGGCACTGGGAGTCACCATCACATCTCTTAATCCTGCCAACTCTTCCTAAGTCCCTGTGCTTCTCCTCACCTTCTAAATGCCAGGTACTTTGGAATGATCATGGCATGGACCATGGGTCTCTCCCAAATGGATGGGCATATCACTAATTGCCAACATGTACTGGAAGTGGGAAATAAAGATGCCTTGATAGCTCTGGTGAAGAAAAATTTTGTTTGGAGATACCGAGAACATCATATTCAATGATATCCTAACATTCAAAGAGTCAGAGGCATGTGGAGAAAGTGAGAAGGCCAGACAGGTCGTCAGTCTGAAGGCCATGAGAAAGCTCTGCTGCTCTGATAGCTGTGGGTGTCCACAAGGAGAGACACTTTGTCTAGTGATCCAGAGAGCCAAGTAGGAATTTATATTGGATGGGAGCATGGGCAGAAAACTTTGTCAAGGAATGATCTGGTCATTTGCTTTTGTCCAAAGGAATTTAGAAATAAAGCTTTCTATAGGCTGTTCCTTCATCAGAAATTGCTGAACCATCATATATCTGGTATTTTGGAAAGTCTTTTTGCCTCTACTAGAAAGACTGTTAGGAATATATGGCTGTTGATGACAATGAAAGTGGAAATAAAGAAATTGTCTAAGTTACTGAATGTATAGCCAGAGGGAAGAATCCCAGAACCTTCAGGTGGAGGCAGAAAAAGTGGGGAGTCTGCTGGGACATCACACTAGAAAATAGCCCAAATGAGCTTTGTTTGTGAGAAGACATATTCTTTTCTTGGATGCAACTGCTATGGACATATCCTACTTACCTGTGACGTTGAGAGTCACTCTGTCACTATGCTGGGCTCCCAGGCCATTGTCAGCCTCACAGGAGTAATTTCCAGAATGTTCTGCAGTCAGAGAGAGGTTGAAGGATGCTCCTCCTCCAGAAGGGGCTGAGCTCCTTCCCAGGGTGGCATCTTCATGATAAAACTGGTACAAGATTGGAGGAGAGCCTCTCCAGGCCTCACAACGAAGCTCCACCACATCCCCTACCACAGCCTGGGCCTTGGGAGCCCTGATGGTGAGGACAGGGCGAGACATTGGAACTGAGAGAGAAAAAAAAGCAGTCAGAGAAGGACTCTGAAGCTGTGACACGTTCATAACTCCACTTGAGGAGGCTAAAAATAGATAGATCCCTTGAGTCATGAGGAGTAATCCTGGATAATTTTGTTTTCATCACTACTCAATCCTCTCCACAAGAAGTAAGGTATCCTCAACTTATTTTGCCGTCTTTGCCATTCCTTGGTTAACTTTTAAATCTTCACAGCTCTGTTCCTTTGCCTCCTTCACAAGATCCTCACAGCTTACAGAGAACCTAAACCCTGGCTCGCAAACCAAGGCTAAGTAAAAGAAATTGGGAACTTACTTCTCAATGTGACCATAGTCAGTTTACTGAGGATGGGGCCATGAATATTGTCAGCTGCACAGTAGTATCTCCCAGCATCACTCTCCTTCACAGTGGGTATCCGGAGCTCTGCTGACAGGGAACGCTGGGTCTTTCTTCCCAAAATTCTTATTGTGCCCTCTCTGTGCCAGGAGAATGTGATAGTCCCTGTCCCCTTGGCTACTGAGCAGATAAGGACCAGATTTTCTCCTTCAATCAGCTGCCCCCCAGAGGGCTGGATTTCTAGATTCACATCAGACACAGGGACTCCTGGGAGGACACAAGATGACACATGAGGGTCTTGATGGCAGAGACTTCAAGGTCAAGGAGAAGGCTGGTCCTGCCATGATTAAGCCAATAGCAGCAGGTTCAATGGGCAGGGGTCCAAAGTAGGAATTAAGGAATTAATTGAGTATATTATTACAATGGGAGCAGCTCCTCTCCTCTCACAGACAATTCCCATTCTTGAGTAATGTGGGCATCAGGCCCTTAATCTTAAACCTAATGTTGACTGCCGTCATATTTTATGGACATTTGTCTCTAAGGAAACTTTGATGCACCAATGGACCACAAAATAAGAGAGAGCAATGGTAATGCTACTTCTATCCTGATCTGATTTTGCTCAGAATCAAACCCCTCTCTTCTCTTTCAAGACTCTTCTCCATTCTCACCTCTATCTTCCCACATTCTTCTTTGACTATTCCAGTTTGTGTTTATGTTCCTCTTTTCTGATTATTTTGGAGTAAGTTTAGATCAACAAATGGAAGCAACAAAGAGACCTCTAAATACAGCATGTGGTCATCTGTGCTTTTAGTTATCTGTTTACGCATGAGAGAATACAACAGATCTTGTACGTCTCTGTAGCCCCCACAGCATTCGGCACCCAGTAATTGATCAATAACTGCTATTACATGACTTAGATGGAAGAAACTGCTCTAGGAAGATTAGGCCATTGTAGAACCTAAACAGAGAAGGATATCAGAATAGCAGGAATCTCCTCTCCCTTATGTTCATTATCCCAGTGAGCAGATGTCACTGTTCTCTTCTCCTCTCCCCACCTCTGACTCTGAAAGAGCAGCCCTACAGACACTTACTCTGCACAAGTATCTGGGATTTCAAGCTTCTTTTTATGACACTGTGAGTCACTGTCTTTGCCTGGCACCAGTAAGAACTTGAGTCTTCACTCCATATGGCAGAGATCTGGAGCTCTGAGGAGCTGCTCCAGCCTGACCCCAGGGCCTGGTCTTCTCTGAAGAAACAGAATTGAAGCTGAGTGTCTGACTTCTGTGGAGGAAGCCAGGTCTCACATTTCAGGGCCACTGGGCTCCCCTCTATGGGCTGGGAGGGGCTGGCTGTCAGCACAGGAGGCGGAAACAACTCTAGAGAGAAGAACAAATATAATTCTCAGGGCAGTGAGGCCCAGCGTGCCTGGAAAGACACACCTTTGTTGTCAGCACCAGCCATCAGGAGATAGGGACCCATGCAGATGGAACCACTTCTCATCGTCCTCCCAAGCCTGGCTCAAAAGAGGCTTTTCATGAAATCCTCACTGATGAGTACCCTCCCTCAATCCACACGCACTGTTTCCCTCCTGAGCCCTATTACCCACAGAAGTGTAGCCATTACCTTGAACTTGGATCCTTAGAGGTTTTGAAGTTTCTTTCCATGAACTCCAGAAATCCTTCCTAGACACAGTACAATGATATTTGCTATTTTCCAGGGAAACTGAATTTAGTATGATGGCCTCTGTACTATAAGTACTACCAAGTTTTTTTCCATCTTTGTAGTAAATCTTTTCACTAGGAATCTTTTCTTCCTTCCCCAGACATCTCAGAAGTACCTTGTCTCCTTCAAATACAGGGTGGGAAGCCTGGAGGATCAGCCAGTCTGCAAAGAGTAGAGGAACACACCAATTTACCCTTGTTGCTTCTTTCTTCAAGCTCTCATTTCTGCTCACGATGAAAGAGCTACAGTCCTGTACATGCTTGCAAATATCTTCCATCAACATTTCCATGTGGTTCCAATCCCTGACTCTCCATTGTCCTAGGACAGTGAACTAATCCCAGGAAATGTCCTCAAAAAATTCCCATAAATATTGTTAAAATAGAAATTTTATACCATACCTTTATTCACACGTGGGTCCCTCTTTGCCTTGTGAGTTATAGGTAACTGACACTTCTCTGGATGGAGAAGACAGACAATGCAGCATCCACTGCTGCCCTATTTCATTATTTTCTGTGGTCAATACTTCCAATATCTCATGCTTCATGGACTCTCTGCATTAACCCAGCCCTCAGACATGCTGACGAGTGGTTTTATTTCAGAAACTCTTCCTTTCTTTCCTTACCAGACAAAAATTCCACATGTACGGGATCACTGAAGGAAGATACTTGGGTCTTGCATTTGTAATATCCAGACTTTTTTATTTGAATCTCTCCAGATTCTTCTCTCATCAAATTCTTATTATAATACCAGGATACATCTCCCCAGGCTGGATAACGGGAATCCCTGCATTTGAGAGTCACTTTCTGTCCTTTGAAGTGTGTGGACCATGGAGGAGTAAGGAGAAGAAAAGCTTTTGGAGCTAATCCTGAACAGGAAATAGAAAGATGAAGGCATGTGAAGGTGAATGGGGAGTGGGTAAGAGAACAGGAGAGGGCCTGGCCTGCAGCTGGGAGTTTCCCTAAACTAATTCCTATTAGGACCTGGGTAAGAAATGGAACAGAAACAACCTTGGGAAATGCCTGGGGCAGAATCTGTTCTTCTGCATTATTTGTATGGCCTGAAGGTGAGCTGGTGGGTGTCATAAGGGATAGCTCTCAGGTCCCTGGTGTGGGCTCAGAAAAGCTCAGGAGATGTGACTTGTAGCTGGGCAAACACTATAAGGGCGTCTCAAGGTGGGCTGATCCTGAAATGAGCTGGACCTGTATATTCTTACCAAGGTAAATGTGAGCCTGAGATGTGTATACCTCAGAGGCAAGTCCTAGACTTTAAAAAACCACTTCCTACTTGGTGATAATATTTAATGAACAAAGTTTTTTCTAGCTTTTCATTATTATTAAACCTTGCTTAATTTGAGATTCTATGGGGAAGGCAACTTTTTTCTATTCTCCATCTAAGTTGGACACAGTCAATAATTGAAGGATAGAAAGAATTTGAGTGAAGGGGCATGGGCTGCTTGAGAAATCATATACACAAATCATACTTCTGTATAGAATTGCAACTGACTAATGGGACCAGAAGTGGAAGCACGAGAGTGACATGAGCTCCTTTTGGAGATATATAAAGATTTGGCTGTAGCATTTCCTCTGTGGATGGGAACTATTTTTATGTCCTTTGTTAGTGGCACTAGTTTGGACATACAGAGGGAAGGGTCTTAGGGAATAGAGGAGATCAGATCTGAGGCTCTCCCAACATGAGCCTCCTGCTTCTGCTCTTCCCTCTGCAAATGCTTCCTTCCTCTCTACACTGAAGCATCCTGATAATAGGGAAAGAACTGGAGAAATCAGGGGAGAGTCTGCTCACCCACTATAGCAACAAGCATGACCTCAGAGTAGCAACACCACCAACGTTGGCACAGCCCTGAATCCTTCATTTATGGAGGCAGGTTGTGCTGGCCAAGAGGACCAATGCTCGGAGACCAGGAGGAATATAGAGAAGGGAAAACTGACCTGATTGTTCTCTTCCAGGAGCTGTGAGGGAACCAAGATTTAAAGATTAGCATAGAGCAATGTTTTTCAAACATTTTCAGTTACATGCTCTCTGAGAAATTTTCCATCAACCCAGCCACAACCACTTCTTCATTTTTTCTTCCTCATTTCTTTGTCCCAATTCTACAGAACCCATCCCTACAGATAAACAAAAATTAGCCTATAATTTATTTTATAAACATGAATGACTGTATCCACAACTCCAGCTCACCTCTTTGCTGTTGCATACTTCATTCCCTTCCTCTCCTCTCTAGCCTGAACTAGCAGTGCAGAGGCAGAAAAGGGCTCAGAGAAGTGACTTATCCTCCCCCTCATTTCTTTGGTGTTGTTCCTCACTTTTTCAATCTCTGGTTAAATAATGACTTAAAATCTCAGGGAAGGAGTTATGTTTCTCAGTAAGTCTTCTCTCAATTGCCTAAGTTTTGGAAGTAATTTTTTATCTGAGGGATTTAGAGCTGCAGTTTGGCAGAAAGAAAAATCCAAGCTTCCTATGAGATGGAAAAGAAATGGGTGAGAAACCCAGGGTAACATTCTTGACTTGCTCTGCTAGTTGTATTCAGAGACTTTGGTTTTCTTGGGAACACTGCTCTGCTCATTTTCATTCTCCTGCTGTCTGTCTCTGAACCCTAAGTGCAAGAGGAGACAGAAGCGCCTTGGTTTTTCCCCTGGCTGACATTAGAAACTAAGACCCCTGTCCCAGTCTGAGCAATCCACTCACCCAGGATGAGTAGCAGCAGCCACAGAAGCATGGGGACCTGGCCCTTGCTGAGGGCAGGGAAAGTCTGTCTCACCAAAGGCCAGGTTTAACTTGCATCCACACAGGAGGACAGGAGGGCGGTACTTAGATGAGTTCTGCAAGAATTATAAAAGGGGAAGTAAAGAATCTTATCTTGCTTTGGGTTCTAAAAATATTCACGTGGCTGTCTTCCTAAATGCTGTTTGTATTTCAACACTGGCAGCTCTGCATTTTTAGGTGGTGGTCATCTTCCAACAGTTCAAGTCTCTCAGGAGAAATCTCCAAGGTTGTCCCTAGGTTCTCTGAAAATGACAAGCAGTGGATTTGCTAGTATTCAAATAACTTTTTCTTTATTTTTCAAATGGAAAATTCCTTTATAACTGTAAATTCCACATGAGGTTTTTGCTTCCACATGAGGCTCCTAATATAGAGACACTTGATGAGTGTGATGTCTTACTATGTTTTACAACATGAGTCATACAAAATGTCAAAGCAGATGCAAAACCCTTTTTGCCATTTATATAAGCTGGCATGAAGCTGCTGAAAAGGAAAATAATAGAAAATCGCAGATTAGCAAAAGTGGCTGCCCCTAATTGCCACCCAGATCTGTGCAAAGTAGGAGATGAAGGAAGGCATAAAAAGAGGAACGTCTCTTGTGTTAGTCTCAGCCTATGTATTACCAGTGTTGTGACTGGACTGGCTTTTGTGGTTCTTACTATGATTGCAAGATGCCCTCTGCATTCACCATAAGAAAATTTTGGAAAAAAAACAAAGGTTTATTAGATACAGGTCCTGGTAAGCATATGGCACACATAGGGCTGCACAGTGAGGTCACAAGGCTGACGTTCCACTTTTATTGTGGTTAATGGGGTTTGGGGGCTAGGGTGGCATGGGCTCACTCTTTGTTGGTGAATTTAAAACATAAGAGCAGGCATTTAAAGCACAGGAAGAGACAAAACAAGTGGCCCAAATGGTCCATTATCAAAATCAACTAAGATCTCTAAAACGAGGGAGTCTCGGGGGCAGGGGTGGGAGGGGAAGCAGCCTAGCTCTTTATCTAGTGGCTGGCAGTGTCTTTATTTGAAGTAGCCATCTTTGAGGTGTAGGCCTAGGCAATCAAAGCTTATGTCAAAGACTCTTTGTTATAAAAAGGAAAAACCAATTGTCAGGGCTTATACTACCGAACCCCTGTTTTCAAAGCCAGGGCGCTTCTCAGAGAGACCTTCCACGGCCTTGCAATCAAAGAGGTCTCATCTATTTTGTGTCAGCCCCTGTGTGCTTTTTTCACAGTGTTTATCATGATCTAATTATTTCCTCTATTTTCTTGGTTATTTTTGTGTCTTCTCTCTGACTAATGCGTAAGGGCTGGTTTGTCTTATCCACTGTTATATCACTTGTGCTTCTAACAATTCTTTCTCAAAAGTAGGCACTTAATAAATATTTTTTGAGGGACTGTGAGAAACTCTGGATTAGTGTTTCTCAACCATTTTTTCATTATCCCTCCCTGACAGGACTTTTGGACTTTTTTTCCAAGCCAATCCCTTCCTCCATGAAACATTAAGACCACAGACATATTGCATATCTGTTTATGTACGGTATGCATGTATCTATGTTTTACACATAAAAATAGTAGGATCTTTTTGCCTCCCCAAGAACCATTTTTTTTGCTTTGAGGCTTATATCACTGCTGTTGGGCATGCATGTTCTAGACATAGAGACAGACCATTCTCAGCAATCTAACTACCAGGATAGGAAGCTATGACCATTCAAAGACACCTTTACATTAGAAACAGGTGAGAATCTCAGATCAAATGTCGCTTCTTTGGGGAGGACATCCTGAGGCTATAATGGAAAGAGGTCCTCTTCTTTAACCAAATAGCATTCCATTCTTTCCCCAATGATAGTTACCAAATTTTGCCTTTCTATATGTATTTGTGTGATTGTATGAGGTCCCTTTCTCTCATTAGACTGTAGCATCACAAGAGCTCAAAAGAATCTGGTGTGTTCTCCATTGTGTTTTCTTTCTTTCTTCCTTCCCTCTTTCTCTCCTTCCTTGCTTCCTTTCTTCACTCCTTCTTCCCCTCCTTTCCTCATTCCTTCCTTCTTTCCTTCGTTCCTGCCTTCTCTCCTTCCTTCTTGCTTTCTCTCCTTCCCTCCCTCCCTCCCTCCTTCTTTCTTCTTATCTTCCTTCCTTCTTTCCCTCCCTCCTTCCTTTTTGTTATTGTAGTAAGAACACAACAAGATACTTATCTTAAATTTTTAAGTATACAATACATTATTGTTGCTTATAGATGCAATGTTATACAGCAGATCTCCAGAGCTTAATTTAACTTAATCTCGCTTAACTGAAACTTTATGCCCATTGATTAGTAACTCCTCATTTCATCCACTCAGAAACCACAATTCCACTTTTTGATTCATGAATTTGACTATTTTAGATATCTCACATAAGTGGAGTCATCCAGTATTTGTTTTTCTGTGACTGGCCTACTTCACTTAGCATAATATCCTCATGGTTAATCCATTTTGTCACATATTGCAGGATTTCCTTCTTTTTTAAGGCTGAGTAGTATTACAATGCATGTATACCTTGTTTTCCTTATCGTTTCATCTACTGATGGACATTTAAGTTTTCCCCACATTGTGGCTCTTGTGAACAATGCTTCAATGAACATAGCAGTGCTAATAATATCTCTTCAAGATCGTGAATTCAATTATTTTGGATAAGTACCCAGAAGTGAGATTGGTGGATCATTTAGTAGCTCTATTTTCAGCTTTTGGAAGAACTTCTATACTGTTTCCCATAGCTGCTGTGTCATTTTTCATTCTCACCAATAGAATGCAAGAGTTCCCTTTTCTCCATATCCTCCCAACACTTATCTTTTGTTTTCCTGATAATAGTCATCCTAACAGGTCTGAAGTGATATCTCATTTCTTTTTATGTGGCATTTCTCTGATGATTCGTGATGTTGAGTATGTTTTTATGTATCTGTTAGCCATTTGTAAGTCTTTTTTGGAGAAATGTCCTTTGTCCATTTTTTAATTGGATTATAAATTTGTTCACTATTGAGATGTAAGAGTTCCTTATATATTTTGGAGGCTAACCCCTTATTAGATATATGGTTTTCAAATATTTTCTCCTATTCTGTAGAGTGTCTTCACTCAGTCAATTGTTTTCTTTGCTGTGCAGAAGCTTCTTAGTTTGATGTAGTGTCACTTTTCTATTTTTCTTTTTGTTGCTTGAGCTTTTGGTGTTATACCCATGAAATCATTGCCAAGACCAATATCAAGGGGCTTTTTCCTTATGTTCTCTTCTACGTATTCTACAGTTTTGTGTTTAATGTTTAAGTCTGTAATCCATTTGACTTGATTTTTGTGTATGGTGTAAGATAAGAGTCAAATTTTATTCTTTTTCGTGTGGATATCCACTTTTCCCAACACCATTTGTTGAAAAGACTATCTTGTCTTCATTGTGTATTCTTGGTATACTTGTCAAAGATCAGTTGATGATGTATGCATGAGTTTATTTCTGGATTCTCTAGTCTCTTCCATTGGTTTTGTATGTCTGTTCTTATGCCAGTACCATACTGTTTTGATTACTTCCACAATGTGCAAGTTTATGTATCATTGGTTTATAACATTATATAAATTTCAGGTGTACTACATTATATTTTGACTTTGTATATACTACATCATGTTCACCACCAAAAGTCTAGTTTCCATCCATCACCGTACAAATGTCCTCCTTACCCCTTGCCCTTCCCCTACTCCCCATTCCTTTTGGTAACCACCAATCTGTTCTCTGTACCTACGTGCTTGTTTATTGTTGTTGTTTTCTATATTCCACATGCAAATGAAATCATATAGTATTTGTTTGCTGCATATGACTTATTTCACTTGGAATAATACCCTCAAAGTCTATCCATGTTGTCACAAATGGCAAAATTTCATCTTTTTTATGGCTGAGTAGTATCCCATTGTGTATGTGTGTGTGTGTGTGTGTGTGTGTGTGTGTATACAGCATCTTCTTTATCCATTCATCTGTCTATGGGAACTTAGCTTGTTCCTATCTCTTGGCTATTGTAAATAATGCTGCAATGAACATAAGAGTGCATATTTTTTTTGAATTACTGTTTTTATATTCATATTGTAAACGAATAACTATAGAGTATGGGTGTTACTTCTTCTAAGAGGTCTTCTCTGACCTTCCAAATCTGGGCTAGGTCTTCCTCTCATGTGTTTAATGAACACTTTGATTTCCTTCATCACAGAGTTCATCACAGTGAAGTGTAATTTCCTGTTCCTTTGACAGTATTTCCCAGTAGTGTAAGTATCTTTAGGGAAGGTAATGACTCTGACTCACTTTGAGTTCTCTGTGTCCAGCATAACTGTCAACAAAAGGAAGGATCAGTTGAATATGGATAGCTTTGAGATGTAGTGTGTTAAAATCAGACTTATTCAACACATGAAAAATTACAATTCATTTCATGATCATAAGTGAAGATGATGATGATTCCTGCTAACAGTTGTTTCTTGTGGTTAGAAGGGTATGCTCAGAAAGCAGCTTTTTGAATGTTATTGCCAATTTGATGCCAAAAATATTGGATTTTCTGTCTTCCTCTCTGTTAGGCAAGGACTACGTCATGTTCACACTATAGTCTCTGCACCATGAACAATGCATGACATTAAGTCTAGCATTACCAGATAAAATACAGGATTCCCAGGTAAATTGGAATTTCATATAAAAAACAAATAATTTTTACTATAACTATGTCCCATACAATCCTTGGGATATGCTTACACTAAAAAAGTAGTCACTGTTTATCTGAAATTCAAATATAACTAAAAATCCAATATTTTTATTTGCTAAATCTGGCAAACAACTGAACAGTCATTTTTAATTTGCATGAATAAATTAATGAGTGATTGTGGTGAGGGAACAGTTGGTTTCTTCCATGTGTATACAGCTCCAACTCTGGTCCTCTCTCTGCTCCTTAACTCACTCCACCCCAGGAGAAGTGAAATGACTTATCTGGTGGGCAAATTTGGGGGAATAATAAATGAGGCATGCTTTAATCAGCTCCATTCTTTTCATCTTGGATGCAAGCCT